AATTAGTAATAGTACCTACTTCATATTTATAAGTATCCCGGCTTGCATGATAAATCACATGGTTGCCTAGCATGGCCCACAGCAAATGGTCTCTGAGATGCCACTGTGAGCTGCTCATGGGTGAGCTCTAAAGGCCCGAGGGACGCCATGAGATTAAGACCCTAAGAAAAGGTGACAGTTAGAAAGTTGACCACAGCTATACACTGAATGTTATGATCACACAACATGCTAAAAACACAGTTAGAAATGTGGAAGAAACAGCTCACCAAATACCCACGTGCACCCTGACATTTCCCATTTCCCTGGCAGATATATGGGGTCGCGCAACTAGATTTGGCCAATACAGTGGTGAGTGGAAGTGAAGTGTCACTTCTGGGCCAAGGCAGTGAAGGGGTGCTGTCCCTCCTGCATCTCTCTCTCTCTCTCTCTCTCTCTCTCTCTCTCTCCCCCTCCCTCCCTCTCCCTCTCCTTTGTGCTGTGATGGCAGCATAACAGGGAGGGAAACCCTCGCCAAACTGCCTCTGACTTGTGTGAGAAGTAGAGCGCGTTGTGCTAAGTGCTGAGCCTTTTGTTGCTGCTCAGCACAGCAGTATCCTGATCCCTGCAGAGAGGACGACACAGGCCCCTCTGTGAGGAGCAGGATATAAAACGACCTGCATGTTCCCTCTGAAGTCACAGGGATACAGGGGTCTTTCTTGGCTCTGCTCTAATCATGCTGCTTAAAACCCCCTCTACCCTCCCAGTTACCACACGTTATCTTCATTTTTCTTCATAGTACGTATTGACATATTTATGTGTTATTATGTATCCCCCACTAGAATGTAAGTCCCATGAAGGCAGGGACTTGTGCCTTAAACAGGGCCTGGCACTTAATGTATAATTTTAAAAAATGAGTTGTGGGCTGAGAATTCTGTATGTAATGATCTTCTCTGAGATGCAAGAAGGTAATAAAGGAATTAAATGCTTAAAATGAAGCAATGAAGGAGTGGAGACAAATCAAAGACATAAACTCTTTTCAAGGGGTTTTCAACCTATTTGTGAGACAAAATATAGAGGCATGAAACAAATAGGGAGCAAAACTCCAGCTACGAAACAGTTAATGAAGCACTAAGTGTACCTAAAGGTGTGAGGCATGAAGGAGAAGAGGCCCGCACAGGCAGCTAACCACGGACAACTCTCTGAGCAAACAGGTTTGGCACTGGACCCAGAGCAGTGGTTCTCAAACTTGTGTTTGCACAGGAATCACCTGGCGAGCTTTTAAAGCCCAGACTGCTGGGCCCCAACCCCAGAGTGTTTGGGTGAAGGACTGAGGACTTACAGTTCTCACAAGTTCCCAGGTGATGCTGAGGAGGCTGCAAGAAAGGGGAACCACAACGTGAGAACTGCCGCTCCGGGGCAGGGGTTGGCAAACCATGGTTCTGCAAGGCCCATTGTTTTAAAAAATAAAGTTTTATCGGAACATAGCTTTCCATTCCTTAATGCACTATCTATGTCTGCTTTCAAGCTAGTAACAGTGTAGCTGAGTAGTCTCAAGGCCATCTGGCCCACAAAGCCTAAAATATTCCCTATCTGATTCTCAACGGAAAAAGTTGACTAACTCCTGGGAGGAAGCCAGACCCAGGGCTGGCAGAGAAAGCCACAGCACTTGAATCTTTTCAAGGAGGGTCCCGTGGCGGAGAGCTATCACCATGCAGCTGAAGCCTGGTGATGACTGTGCATGGTGAAGGACAGCACCCAAATGACATTTTGCCTCCCAAGCTCTGGGGACCAAGTGTGGAATAACTGCAGAAATAATACATTCAAGTATCCGTGTGTCTGTCCAGGATGAGAAATGTGCAAAGGGCAGCCTACATGTCTGTGTGCATGTTTCCTTCCCTTCCGAACCAGCGAGCACATCTGCCCGCGTGCTGGCCTGTAAGTACGCCTTGGAGGGTAGGGGCCTGGCAAAGTGCTCAGCCTTCCCACCACGCACACTTCTTCCCTCAGACAGAACTCAGTCGTGAGCACCCTGTGCCCCGATCTGTGGTCTACGTGGGACGACACATACAGACAACCTGGAGCAAAACAAGACGTAGTGTCTCGTTGTCGCTGAGCTCTGTGGAGCACCCCAAGTGCTTACAATTTCAGAGGGAGAAATTCCTGTGGATCAGAGCTGGTGCAGTGTTAGTCTTGGGGGTATTACCTCTGGGTCCCTGGTTTGATTTCATGAAAATGGTGAATTGGTTTTCAAATGCTAATTGGTGGATGGGCAGCACCAGAATCATCTGGATGAATATTTACATATGCCCATCGTTCATAGAAAGTTTAAGTTTTAGCAGATTCCTGCTTTTAACCACACCTACCCCCATCCCACATGATTGTGGTGCACAGCACATCAATGCTGACAAATGGAATCTGGTGTTTATTTCCCATTGTTTCAGTGGGTTTAGGGGGTGCTAGTGTTGTCCCTGCAGGATCTGCCAATGCCCCTTAACTCCCCAAAGTGGCTTGTGTGCCACTGGGGCACTGCTTGGCTGTGGCTGAGATGAGGTGTCAGGCTCTCATCAGGATTCAAACTTTCTGTCTCTCACAATGGGCTTGGTTTTCCCCTGAAAGGCAGTGTTTTTCAAACTATGGGTTAGAACAGGGGTGGGCAAACTTTTTGACTCGAGGCCACAATGGGTTCTTAAACTGGACCGGAGGGCCGGAACAAAAGCATGGATGGAGTGTTTGTGTGAATTAATATAAATCCAAAGTAAACATCATTACATAAAAGAGTACGGTCTTTTTTTTCAATAGTTTTATTCATTTCAAACGGCCGGATCCGGCCCGCGGGCCGTAGTTTGCCCACGGCTGGGTTAGAACCTAGTCAAGGGTTATTAAATCATTTGAGGAGGGTGCAACCAGCATTAAAGAAAATAGACTAGGAAAAAAATCAGAGTGCATGACGTGTTAAGGATAAGTGTTAGCTGTCAAACTTGTGGGTGGGTTGTGCACGGTTGCTGTGTGTGCCTTCCTATGTGCCATGCCAAAAGATGTTTGCAAGTCTCTGCAGCGCCACATCAAGCAACTGTGACCCTAATTTACTCAGGGCAGCTCCTGTCTCTTCTTGCAGAAGACTGATAGAGGAAGTCACCAGGGAGGGCAGACTGTCATACACCAGTATTTCAGGGAAGCCACCTGGAAACAAATAGAAAACCAATTTGTGGATGATCACATAGCCTGGGGAGACAAGTCAGTCACAGGATGTTTTAGGAATGGCAGCCGACTCAGCCCAGTACACCTGTCATGTGGGGAAAGCAGAAGTTATCTGGAGCCCAACCTGACCAAATTTCAGTTTTCCTTTCCCTGAAATGGGGACAATCTCCCTACTATTCCTGCTTGGAAAGACCAAATTAGGGAGAGGGAAAGTCCCTGTTCAATAAGGATGGACCACAAAGCTCAGGCTCAGCCGTGGCCGTTCCTGGGTGTGGTAGGTGTATGTTGGCATTAGGGGAAGGCTCATGCTCAGAGTCAGCGAGGACATACGTGGGAGCACAGACCAGGAACACCTATGCCAAGGGGCCTTTCTTCTTCTGACCTCTTGGCGGGCAGTCCTGGGGCCTGATCATTCATAGTGCGCTGGTCTCACTCAGTGACCTAGAACGGCTTAGCCGGACAGAGCTGACATGAAGAGGAGACCAGCTCAAAGAGCATGTATTGTGTGCAGCTTCAAGTGGTGGGAAATGATTTTTGCCACCTTGGGAGGGGCTCAGGGAGTGGGAGCAGTGGGGGGCCCAGAGGTGGTGGTAGTGCCCTGGGGCTGGTCATTTTGGACCAGCCCTGCTACCCTCTCTTCTCAGGGAGAAAAAGGCAGGAGGATGGGAGAAAAGAAAGCCTTAAAGAGTATCACTAAAGGGTCTGGGGTGAAAGGCTTCAGAAGACAGGAAAGCCTTGCCCTCTATTTGCAGTGTGCCTTTTACAACAAAGCCTCTTAAATTGTTGAGAGAGGTCCTGGCCACTTCTACCACTTCCATTTTTAAAGTTCTCACAGTATTATAGGATAAAAAAATTGCCAAGAATGCAAGGATGGAATAAAAAAACCCAACAAAGTCCTGTTTAAATTTGCATGGTGAACATCTTTAATCTGTCAGAGATCTGCAGCCGTCCCTGACTTCCTAGGTGACATCAGAAGTCTCACTGAAAAGGCAGGCCAAATCCTGTGCCCATCTACAGGACGGACTTTGCTAAGAGCAAGCTTTGGCTGCCTTCACTGCTCGGGGATGGGACAAGACTCATTCCATCTTTATCTGTGCTTTCTCAAGACAGTGGTCCTCAAAAGTTAGAGTGCAGAAGCCACTCCCAGGCTTGTACCGAACGTTGATTCTTAGCCCCACCTGTGGCGATTTGGATTTAGCTGGCTTGAGGTGGAACCCAAGAACCTGCAGTTTGCGATGCATCTCCCCACTCCCCACTGAGATGGCCACGCAGGAGGACCACTCGTGGAGATGCAGTGGGAAGACTGGCCAGGGAGAGGTGGCCTCCCTCACCTACCCATCCTCCCAGCTGACCACCCAGAGTGCAGCACACTCCTGCCTGCCCCGTGCTCTGTGTCAGGGTAGGGCCTGGCCTGAGGTTGGATAGTTTTCACAAAGAGGCCTCAGACATCTGCTTCTCGCCAAACTCTGAGGCAGACCACAGGGATAGCGGCTAATCGGGACCTTAACACACATTGGAGGTGTCTTTTCTAGAATGAGAAAAAGAACAACAACAAAAATCCAAACGACAGAGGTAGGGGGAGAGAACTGTTAAATGTGTGGAAAACCCAAGATCATTAGAGCCATTGAGAGCTTCCTTTCAGGCAAAGACTTTGAGGTTTGCCCAGCATCTTGCTGGGTAAATCTAGCTCTGGTTCCGGGTCACAAATTCCCCCGACACTTTCCCAATTGCATAATCAAATTTCCCACCTCTTGCCCCTAACCCTCATGGAGCTATTCTGACATCATCTTTACTTCTTTTCTCACGGTAACCAACACATGACATAAGGTTGAACAAAGACGTTTATTTATAAAACCAGTTCCCAGGGGAGGAGAGATTGTATCCATAGAACACAAGCCGGTGATCATTCAGAGTGCCACATGCAAGCATTTCCGAACCAAAGAGAGCACTGCGGCAGGCACCCGGGAGCTGCCCATCCTGCCAACAGAAAAGCAAGTGTCTTTTCCGCTCGAGAGCACGGATGTACCAAGATGTCCTGCGAGAAGGCAATGTGGTCTGATATCCACGACGAAGTGATCACGGAATAACTGCAGATCCTTTTTTTTGTCCTATTCTGTGTGCCCTGCTCACTTCCCAGACACCCGGCTAAGAGCTTAAGAGGTCCTCCACCCTCCAGCGGAAGGGGCAGTGTCATATCCAGGGCCTCCTCACATGCCCATCCTTATGCTCTGAATGATCTGGAAGATAGCTGAAAGAGGAAAACAAAACAGCTCAGACACCAGGCAACACACAGCTGGAAACCCAACCCACAGAGCCTGCTTTGGTGACCCTGGGCCCTTGACACGTTAGCACGCACAGCTGATTAGATATTTCCTCACAAGGAGTTAAGTTAACAAAAGGTCAGTGAACTTCTCTAAAAAACAGCCTTGCTGCATCTGTTGATGGATGCCTGGGGATTTATAGATAACCTGCTAATGCCTTCACCAGGAGTGAAGGGCAGAAGTCCCCCAGGGGCTGAGAGATCTGGTCCCCTTTCTTAGAACATCTGCTCTGCTGGGGGCGGGGCTCCCTTTCCTGCAGGCGCTGTATGCATTTAACAGGCTCCTGAGGCCACCTTTTCCAAATGGCTGTGCCCTGGAAAGCAAGCAGCCCTGAGCTGGGCAGAAAGGCCAGTGCTTAGAGCAGAGGCAGGAAGCCGAGCTCCTGGCTGCCACAGCCCTTGATGCAAGCAAATCTTTTGCCATCCGGAACTTTCTGAACTGTGGCTCTCTCATCGAGAGCACCCCTGACCTCCTCAGGGCTCAGTCTTCACTACATGGGCCTCCTCGTGAGACACTGAGGGGTGCGGAGCCTGTAAACCCCACAGAGCGTTCCCGGGACCTGCACTTGTTTTGGTCAGAGCTGGTTACATAGCTGGGTGCAGCTATTGGGTTGAAAGGTGTCCCAGGAAAAGAAGGCCCAGCTGCTTTGTTAAACCCCGCTCAGTGGGCGACATTGGCTAATCCGATGAAGGCAATGATAGCAGCATCTACCTCACAGTGATGGGTTTTATTTTTGAGGGGACGCTGAGTATCATCTCATTTAATGTGTAAAACAGTAAACACTGAGCTCTCCGGGGGTCTTGCCCCTTCTCTCCTTCCTAGTCATCCCGGAATACAGCCAGGAAGGCAGCTTCCTAAGTGACAGCAGTGACGCAGAACCCTCAGGAACAAGGCACTTGGCATTTCATCACCCAATGTTAGTGAGCCCATGCCATCTGCCAGGCACTGTGCTTTGGGGTCCACAGGTGAACAATGCAGACGGCCCGCCCTGGCAAGTTTTGCTGAACAGCTAGGTTTGAAGGGTAGAGCACTAATGTGTTTTATTCTAAAAAAACCCCAACTAACTCTGCACACATCAACACTACTTTCCTAAATCAGATATGTGCTATAAACCAAATGTGATTTAATGTTAACTTTTCATTAATGCTCAGTGTGGCCACATGTGAAACAGTCATCACGCAGACTGCTGTAATCCTGTTATGGAGAGTGCACTAAAGAGCTCTGGACGGCTGTATCCTGGGTTCTCATTTCTGCTTCTTAATGTTTTTTTGTCTCAGTTATTACTATCTGTTATTAGTTACTGTACTAATCCGCAGTGGGCTTTCCTCTGGTGTGTTGCTGTGGACTAAGCTGAAAATAAAGACTGTTAGAATCATGTGCAGAATTAGAGGAAACCCGTCTGTGTGACCATGGCAGGAGCTCCTCTCTAGATACAGTAAGTGAGTTCATTCACAACTTGTGATATTTAATTCTGGTTGCACAAGCAGTGTTCTTTTTTTTTTTTTTTTCCGGGGGTGGAGGGGTTTGACAGAAGAAATTGCTAGATGCACGAGAAAGTACCTTACCAAACTATATAAGCTGGCAGAAATAGTTAAAGTATTTGCCCTCCCCTCTCAAGGCTGATGAAGAATAAAAATTAAATAAGCATTTGGTATTCCAGATCAAGAGGAGTGCTGGGAGGCAGTTGTATATTCAACATGGGGGGGGGCGGGAATATTTACATCTACCATGCCTCAGGCTTGATAGTGAGGATGAGAAAACGTCCCTAACCTTGACAAAGTTACTGTAGAGTGAAATGTCAGGGCCAGGTAGAACTGGGTGAGAATTTCAGTTCTTCACTGAATAACCGAGTGACCAGACAGATAATTTAACCTCTTCAAGCCCATTTCTTCTTCTATAAAATGAGGACCATGGTACTTGCAGGATTGTTACAGAATTAAACAATTTGACATATACAGAGGCTCCTCATACATCCAGGATTTGCTGTGTGGGAGGCATTGTTATTATAGCCACTATTAGTATTATTACAAAAATGACGCTGCTTCTCCATGTATGAGCACGAAGACCAGAGCTACAGAACTACCTGCCACTCTCCAGAGGTGTGAACTTTGGGAAGTTACTAAACAGTTCTGAGCCCTGATTTCTGTATTTGTAAAGTCAGTAGATAGTATGTGCCTCACAGGATTGCAAGGAATCTACAGAATGACATAAGTAAAAGATCTGTTCATAATAGATGCTCAAAAATGTTCTTTCTCCCTTAATTTTATCTTTAGACAAGAAATCATTTCAGCATGACTTACATAAACAAATAGGAGGCAGTCTGTGCCTTTAGTCCATCAGAACTCATTAGGTTAATTCATGACTTCAGAAGTGCTAGGTAGTGATAAAACCTCTCAATTCTTTTTAAGAAACTGCTGCAAATTTATCTAAAGAATCAGAAAAACTTGCTTGCCCTAGAGTAGTTGCAACACATATTAAAACAACCTACCTATTTCTGAGTCTGTTTTAAAAACTAAAGATTATTCCTAATCCTAATTGAGCCCATGTAAAAACCGATGGTCCTTAATATGTTTATATGTGACCCTTTAAAACTGAACCCTCTTGGAGAAATTACTTTGAAGAGTCTATTTTAAGTTCATCATTTGCTTCCACATCTAAGGTAATGAAGAGATGGTTGTGTTCATTATTCCTTTTTCAGCTGTATCAATGTGTTTAAGAAGCCTTCAACATCCTACACTAATTACATTAATTGTAATTCTGTGCATCTGCCAATAATGACCCGCAGACTAACCCCAGCCTTCCACATGCTGACTTTCCGGGCAGTGAACAGGAAGGGAGCCAACAGTGCTTTCAAAGTGGGAAAGGAAGTGGGGAGTCTAGACCCTGACAAGTTAATAACTTAGTGCGTGAACAAAGCTGAGAAAACAGCAGAGCGGGCTGCAGGAAAGGGACTGTGGCAGGCAAGACAGCGGGGAGCAGAGATGCCAAGAAAGGGAGGGACAGCAGGCATTCCAGGTCAGAGGATGGTCACAGAGGTTCAGAGACATTCAGGCTAGAGCAGAATCTACAGAATCCAAACCTCTACACTCTCCCACCTGTGTTTAGGATCCTGGTCACATCTTTCTTTTATTCCACCATCCCCTTTCAATGAAATCCTAAGGTTTTAACATGCAAGAACCACTCACACTGAAAAAATCAAACAAACTAGAACAATCCTCCTGACTCCACATCTCTTCCCTGGTCACCACTGCTGAGCACTCCCTCCTTGAAACTCTTTCTTCCCTTGGCCTCTATGACACTGTCTTCTCCTGGTTTCTAGTTTCCTCCTTCTCCTTGTCTCTATATGCTAAATGTATTTTATGGGTTCATCCTAACTCCACCTGACCAGTAAACAAGAATGCTGAGGTTCCGCAATGAGCATCCTGGCTTTCTCCTCTTCATTACATTCTTTCTCCCTGAATGATCTCAGCCTGGCCCACAATTTCAGTTGCCACTTAGCTTTGGATGACTCATTCACCTGTGTGCATTGCCAGCCCTGTTTCCTCTAACTCTAGACGAGAGCCACACCTTTTACCATCTAATTGATACTTATTCTTAGGTACTCAAAGGCACATCAAACTCAACAGGACCTTCTCATGATCTCTTCCCACTGTCAATTCTGGCATCATTTATCCTCCATCTCACATATAAAACAAAATGCCATAGTCATCCTTAACATCTCCAATTGATAACCAAGACCTGCGGACTTTACCTATGAAATTTGTGATTACGCATCCTTCCCTCCATCCCTCCAGAAACCTCCTTTGTCCAAGTGACCACCATTTTTCTCCAGGTGCCTATGGTGACCTCCAAAACTGGTCTCTTCCTGCAACTCCTCAATCCTTTCTCCATTCTCTAGACTTATTCTTTAAATGAAAACAAACAGGATTATGTCATCCCTGTGTTTAAAAGCACAGCATAAGCTTCCTATTGCCCAATCCTTGATGAGGCCTCCATGACCCGTGCATTCTGGCTCCTGTAAACCTATCTGGGCTCATCTTTTATCACTCTTCTCCTCTCTTGAATAATCCCTTATGCTTTCAAAAGCTCTCTGCTCTTACTACAGGGCTTTTACACATGCCATTCTTTCTATGTAAAATACTTTCCCCATCCCACCCTATTGCCTAGTGTTCCTTCATAATTCAAAAGTTCTATCTTCAGAGAAGCCTCATTTGATCATCTGGAGCACGAATTTTTCAAACTTGAGTGTGTATCCTGATCTCCTGAGGACATATGAAAACACAGGTGCTGGGCCCCACCCCCAGAGTATTTAATCCAGTAGATCTGGGGGTGGGAAATGAGAATGTGTTTTTCTAATTAGTTTCTAGGTGAGGCTAAGGCTGTCGGCCCAAGGACACACTTAGCCAGAGTAGACTAGCCTTTTGTATTGCATGCGTTCACAGCCCTACATGCCTCTTCACACACTTTCATGGCTGAAATTTTACATGTTTTAGCATAATTACTTGGTTGACTCCTCTTGCCTCCCCACCAGGCAGTAGCTATAGGAGAACAGGGATGTTGGATGATTTTGCTCATGATTTTACCCCGGAGCCTAGCTCAGCACTGGGCACACAGTAGCCCCTCAGTAAATATTTACTAAAGGAATGAAAGGTGGATGAGTACAGAAGGTATGGAGAAAGATACACCTTAAAAACCTTAAATAGTCATTTTGCAAACCAAGCGTCAGCATCAAATAGATACTTTTACATTCAAATTCCTAAGAATCAGTCCTTGGATAGGAAGTTAAGTCATGACAGACCAATAACCTTTTAAGCCCCGGGACTGTATCATCTTATGCTGGGGACTGACCTACCCCAGCTAATTGGGAGTGCCAGAAGGACACGGGGCTGAAAGAAGTGGATCTTCTAGGAAATTGTCAGAAAGCTAGACAACAGGAGGCTTCAGAAAGCCACTTTTATTGAAAATAAATACTTGACAAGAGAGATCAAGGACGTTTCTGACAAGAGACGTTAAGGCAGGCCAGAGGAACATCCATTAGGAGTATAAAGATAACTCTAGAAATCACACAACTTGATCATTTTTTCATTAAAAAATTGCTGTAAGAGAAGTATGAATCTTGAGAGAGACAAGTAGTAATGTTAGGAGACAAGACATTGCAAAGGTGGTCTGTTAAGTTCTCTAAAAGAGTCAGGAAAAAGAAAGTCAAAAGCAAAGCACCATTTTCTGATAGCATTTCCTGGTGATTTCCCCAGAGATGGCGACGAGAGAAAAGAGAGAGAGATGCCAGGGGCAGGTAAAGGCAGGAAGACATTGTTAAAAGAGGGATATTATTAGCAAAGAAGGTGATGCCCCGTCTCCACACTGAAATAGCAGACAGAAACTCTCTTCTGAGAAGGAGACCACACACAAACCCAAATGCTCCACGGGCACAGGGCAGAGGATGGCACACAACAACGGAGGCCACAAGTCACCTTGTGAGAGCCAATGGCTGATCAGATCTTTCCAGATTGTCCATCTCAGATCTTGAGGCAGGAGTTCCAGAGTAGATGCATGTCTTCCATCTTTCCTCTGTGGTGAAATAGAAGGGCTTCTCTGGGCTGCTCTGTTTCTCAAACATCGCACTTGCCAGTCTCTGGAGAGACTCCCTCTGGGTGTCACCAGTTCAGGAATGTTCTGGTAGTCTCCAGGAAAGGCCAGTGTTTATGTGGTTGACCTGCAAACATGGTGAATTCAAATATGTCCCTGAGCACATGTCCAGGAAAAGGTAAGGTGATGAGTGCCCGGTGGCCCAGTCCAAAAGCAGCCATGACTTGATACAGGCGTTATCCATCTGGGAGCTGACCCAGGATGGCTGCACAACTGGAATCTCTGGACAGTGCACCTTTTCTGGCAGGGAAAGTAGAAGATGTCTCAACAGGGGACACAATCATATGCTAAAGGCCTAAAGTTGGTGGAAACCTTCTGCTCCACAGTACTTTTGGGGACATGGAAGAGAGAAGGAATGCAGGGTAACAGAAAGCAGTAGGGTTTGAAGTTAGGTTTGGGTACTAGCTCTATCACTTTTTAACATGGGATGCTGGCTGATTTCCTCTGTGAGCCTCAGTGTTGTGAGTACCACAGCTTCTTTGTAGGGATTGTGTGACTAGAAGGGAGAATGTATGTGTAGAGCCTGGCATTATAATAAGGACTCAAGCAATGGCAGCCAAAATAGTTACGTGAACAGGTCCTGCTCGCCCCCATAGTCTAGATACAAAGAGTTCTTTCTGGAAATAGAGAAGAGGCTCTAGCTGCTCCTGCAGAGGTGATACCACTGACCTCTGGTCGACAAGCCTTGCCCTCTACCTGGCCAGGCGCGAGCTGGAGCCCACGCAGCTTCCTCAGCATCACCGGGCTGTGCTCCGCCACTACAGGTGTTCTCATCATCACAAAGCAAAGTCACCAGAAAGGTCAAAATGGCATCTTTCTTTCCTTGTAAGCACTCAGAATCTTGGTCAGAACTTTGCCCAGGAGGTCAAGAGCTGGGGAGACAGGGTGACTAAGGACCATCAACATAATGACAATAACAACAAACATTTATAAAACTATTACCTTGACTGGACAAGCATTAACCCTCAGGATTCGTTTTCATGAGGATCTTAGGAGCCAGGAACCAGTCCTAAGCCCTTTAAGAATGGGAGAACTGAGGCTTAGAGTGGGCATCAGTAACCTGGACAATGCCACACAGCTAGGAGGCAGCAAACCCAGGTTTCAAACCCAGGGAAGTTGGCCCTAGAGCTGGCACACACATGATTTAGTCCTTTCCCTCCTCCACATCCTTAATAAAAACCTCCAGTCCTAGGAATGGTGAGTGCCAGTCCTTCTAGGAATAGAGAGGTCCTTAGTGCATCTATAAAGAGAGCCAGGTGGATGACCTGAAACATGGGGCTGAGAGAATCGGAATTCAGGCCCATCTAAGAACATCTCAGGGAATCACTTCTTCCTATCTCTTCTGAATAGGTTGTCCTAAAAATTAGACCTACCTGTGACACTATCTACCCCCCAACCCCGCCCCATCCCTGTGGGTAGAGTCCCTGGAGGATACAGGAGAGGAGTACTGACAGTCTGTGAACTGACAGACAAAAGGAATGTCTCTGCCCAGAAACAGTGCAGCTACTTACAACTGATGGTGCCAAATACACCTAGTGGGCTCTTGGCTGAAAGATAGTAACTCTGTACAGCAGAGGCCAGCTCTGCGCCAGACACAATTTCCTATTTGATGGGCAAAGAGGGTCCAGCTGGATATTCCTTTCTGGGAATGAAAAAAAAGCAGAATATACAGCAACACAGGAGGTACCCCATACACACACGCATAAACATGCAACACACAAACATGCAACATTCATACACAAACACACAACACACACGCACGAACATGTACACAAACATGCGCACGTACGCATACACACAGATCTCATTTCAACCAGAACAGCTGCTCTTTCATTTGTTTCCCTATAAGATTTGAACAAAGAGTGCTGCTGCTGCTTTAAAAAAGGGAAAGGCTACAAACCACAAGTCTAGACGATTTGTTCTTAAATCACACTTAATTTTTTCTAAATATGCAAGTAATATATGCTCACTGACAAAATGGGGAAATATAGAAACTTATGAATAAAATAACAGTCACTAGTTAATCCTGCTGCCCTAGAGGGTTCCCTTTGATGTGGGATGAAGGCGCCTCGGCCTCAAGAATACCCCGGCTTCAGTAACCATTGACATTCTCATGATCACTAACCAGGAAATGAACATCAAAACTGGCTAGAAAGAGAGATAAAATTGAAATTAGGAATACATGAGGGAGAAGCAGTCCGAGAAAGGGAAGTGGGGCTTGGCTGGTATGTAAGAGTTCACATCAGAATCGAAGGATGAAGGGAATTAAATGGTGACCCCCTAGTCCCAGTTGAGACCTCAATGAGGGGTAAGAACAGAGAAGGATACAACCATGTTGCCAAGAGTGCTAAGATTGTGGCTTCCTGTCACCACACAGTATCAGAGCTTGGGAAAGGTAAATCATACTACAGGATCACAAGAAACATGTATATGATGACAAAATGACAAACCTGTTTGAACAACTAACATGTTAAGGAAAAGATCTAATTTCACCGAGTCCGGGAGGCATTCTCATTAAAGAGAAGAATTGAAGATGCTGAAGACGGTTGTCCTGTGAACACTGTGGCACTTACATTATAAAAAGGTTAGACCAGGGACAGCAAAGATGAGCACGGGATCCTGCTGTTAATACCATGCTCATGACAGACTGTAGTAATCAATTGCAGCACACTTTCCCACAGAGCTTTGGTGTGGCCTCAGAATCTTTCTCAATAAGCTTTTAAAAGAGCTGAGGATAAAAGGGGAGAAAAACCTAGGGGCTAGGGCACTGAGCATAAACAGTGGGGACTGGCTTCATTAATGGCCTGGGGAGGTGCGTCAAGCCTGCAAGTGTCCTGTGAAGATAGCGGTGGCAGATCTGTGTGACAGTGTCTTTGCTGTCTCAGACAGACATTCCAGGTCACGCTTGTCTCTGAGTCTCAAGATAAAGCAAGAACTCTTCAGAAGTTATTAAACAGTTCTCCAAAAGGGCAGGTTTTGAAACCAGGGACTGAGAGAGCTAGAATGAGCTGCTTATCTGGAGAGAGGCCCCCTTGCCTGCAGAAATGGAAGATAATGTTTTTATAAAAAGGGATGTGTTTTAATGTGGATCTGGGTCCTAGGAGACCAAAACAAGATAAATGCAAGCAGTTAAAAAGGTTCCAGCAACACAAAGTCCCAGGACAAGGCTTGAACAAGAAAATTTCCTGGCCTATTTGGAATAATCACTTGAGGGGGCCCATGACAGGTATTTGAGAAGCAGGTCTGAGATTGCTGACAGAATATATAATACCAATAACAATAAAGCTGGTTATCAAACCGAGCAAAACAAAGCAGGAAATGGCCCTGAAGGGACCTATTTGGATAATATTGTGTCTCAAAAGAACACAGGGTTCCCAAGGCTTTTCTATCTCACAAAGAAAACTTTTCTAGCAAAACAGTGATGTATGCGGGTTGTGTTAAGGAAATGAAACTTATATTTCATTTTTGAGAGTCAACTTAAAGTACAAGCCCCCATTCATTGATTTGTGTCTGCACGTCCGTGCCTCCTTTTCCTTGCGTGGGGAGGTGACAGATTTGGAGGCTTTATCAAGGGAAAACAGTCTCATGTACCCAGAGTGTTACCACTGAAATGGCTCACACCCATCCTTGGAGTTAAGAGGCAGGGCCTACTGCTTTCTGAAAGATCCAGAAAAATATGATGGCTGAGCCTGCCAATGACAGGCTTAGTATGGGAGGAAGGGCGGTGAATGGAAGCCTGAGCACCCCATGGCACAGCAGTCCCAGCCCCGGTGCCACTGGTTTCCATGGGGGGGGGAGTGGGTAGAGGAGGTAGTGACTGAGGCTGCAGGTGTCAAGCTTGTTGGGCCAGCACTTACATCCCTGGAACCTTCAGCGCCATGACCATCTGTGGAGGGGCTCCTATATCCCTATTTGATCGAAAAGGAAATCAATACGGAGAGAGTAAATAACTTGTCCTAGGTTATTCGGCTGATAAATAGCAAATCTAGGCTCTGAACCGATATCTGGCAGATTCCAAAACTGTCCTCCCCTCTGAGGCACCAGTTGGTCAGATTTCAAAGAAGCGTCTTGCCTCAGAGACCTTTTGCAATGGTTGAAAGTGGAAATTTACTTAATTCTGGAGAGGGATGGATTTAAATAAACCTCCTTCAGCTGCCTCTTAACAGGGTAATGTACTAGAGATTACAACTGTGGACTCGGACTCTGATCTTGGTGGCCTGGGCACAGCTCCGGTGCTCTTATCTAAGTTGTTGGTGAGGTGGTGGGTGTTCCCTGGGTGCAGGTTTGGGCCAGGGGTCCCTGGGTGCCATGCTCCTGTACCCTCACTGCTCTCCAGGTTTCTCTTCCTTCCCTTTCATTTTTTTGCTCTTATCACCACCATAGGCATGAAAGGAACGGAGGATGAGGAAGGTCATAAGAAAGAGAAGCCAGGGGTGAAAGTTTGCTGTGACACATCACTCCCCGTAATAAAGGGACCCTGTAACCTCCTGGAGGTTTGTTAACTTGTTTTTCCACATAAAGTGGAGTAAGGGTGACCAATAAGTGAGCATGTACTTAAATACCAACATTTTACCAGCCCAATTCCTCCCCGGAATATAGCTAGGAAAACAGATAAGATGTGCACTCCTATTCCTTGCCTGACCTGATTGTTTATTTAGCCTACTGACCCTACTTCTAAAAGGGGCACTTTGCTCAACCAAACATCAGTTAGGAATATGGGTTAATGAGGAAGGTAATGAAAGCAAGAGTCTGTCAAGAGAAACAGATCAATGATCAGCATCTTCATTAATATTGGAAGATCTCATAGTTTTCCTGTCTGTATAAAAATATACAAAATGGGATTAACCAATGACATGAGCCCAGAGAGGGCAAATGACCTCATAGGTGTCACCGGGACTCAGTGAGATGAAGCTGTAGCCTGGCATACGGGCATGCCCTGCTCAGAGGAAAGAGACCTGAGGGACACGAAGGAGTGTGTGTCCGTAGAGGCACAGAAATCCTACCAGAAACTGCAGTGAGTTTTGTGTGAGTGTCACAGACAAGAGCAGAGTGAGGGTGTGCACAGCACAGATGGATGGTCAGACGTGAGGTGCAGGGGGTCTCTCCTACTTTGGATCACTGAACTGGGATAGAGGTGAGAGAGAGTAGTAATGAGGGGTTCAATCATTCTAGCACCAAGAAGGCTTATTACATAAAGCAGAGGAACTGATAAACTTGAGGAAATCACATTCTTTTGAATGTAGACAAAAGATAGGTGGGAGCCTATGGCTTGCAACTCTAAAAAGGGAGAGACTCAAGAGGGACAGTGGCTCTGCCAAACGAACTGAATCGTGACTAATCCCCGAGGGGACACAGCTATTGGTGCCATTGTGTTTTTCATGACATGCATGGTTTAGAAAAGGACACGGACAAAGATAGAAGGAAGGGCACAGTACCAAGGACAAACTGAGGAGAGTGACACCTTTCTGTGAGAACAGTGCCCAACATGAGCTGAAGCTTGCAGAAAACAACAACAAAACAAAGCAAAAAGGGTGGTAGTATTAGATTATTCTCAGTTATGATTGAAAAAGCAACGAGGCCCATTAATTAGGGATTCTTGTAGCATGTAAACAGGATAGAGAAAGCAAGACCACCAAACTCCCATTTTATTTATTGCTCCTCATAAGAGCAAAGTGGTCTTAACGAGGAAGTTGAGAGAAGCATCGCTAGAAGAGCCCTGGACGCGAGGCGGGGGGATCTGGTATGCCAATGAGGGCTGTATTTTCATTATGTCCAAGTCTCCAGGCCCTGCAGTCTCCCATCCAGGCCCCTGGACAATCCTGCAGCTGAGATAACAGAGCGTTTGTGCTTGATGCCTAAAACACTCTTGAAGACTGGTTCCAAAAGATTGTTGGATACAGTACCTGCTATGTGAACCAATAAGCCTGGCAAAATTTTAATTAAAATGTAATTTTTTAAAATGTAATTTAGAGAAAGTTTTTTTAAGCCCTTTGACAAGCATGACTATTGAGAACTAGCACAGGTTTGAGAAAAACAAGCCAGACCAAATAACTATTGTCTCCCTTCCACCTCCCTCCCCACTAAGGGCTCACAGATCCTCACGGCTGGGCTTTGCCATTCTTGAGCCACTATCTCCAGCCTCAGTGCCTTTGTCACGCAGTGTTCCTTCATGTGGAATAACCTACCTTTGTCTGGCTGTTTGTCCTTCAAAACTCAGCTTAAACTGCACCTCCTCTGGGAAACCTTTCCTTCTGCCCAGCATGGTTTAGAAGTTCCTGCTATAATTGATTGTGTTCTCCCAAATTCACACGTTGAAGTCCTCAATATGATGGTGGTAGAAGGTAAGGCCTTTGGGAGGTGATTAGGTTATGAGAGTGGGTGGGACTAGCGCTTTTAAAAAAGAGGCCTCAGAGCTTCCCTGTCTCCCTCTGCTGCATAAGGATATGGTATGAAGACACAAGGAGAAACCTATGACCAGAAAGAGGGCTCTCCCCTGACCATGCTGGCCCTGAATCTGATGTCCAGCTTCCAGAATTGTGAGCAGTACATTTCTGCCGTTTGTAAGCCTCCCAGGCTGTGGTATTTTGTTACAGCAGCCTGAAAGGACTAAGGCAATCCCTTATGCGTGCTCACCAAGAACTCTGCTATCATCGTGCTCTTTCTGGGGTTACAATGGGCAGCTTTCTTATCTGCCCTCTCCAGTGCCTGTAGGTACTGAAGGAGGTTGTAGTTTCAAAGCCCAGAACAGTGGCAGGCACATGGGGACCCTCAACACATGATGATGGCTTGCATGAGTTCTGCTGAGAGGTTCAAAGTCAACCCAAAGGGAGTTGTCTCTAATTGTGTTCTATGGACTTCTCCAGGTCTAGATTTTTATCAGTGACTTGGAGAAATAATATACTTTTAGAGACTGTAAGGCTCAGAGAAAAAGATAATTAGATAAAAGGCTCAAGGTTCAAGATTTAACAATCTACAGGCTGGCTATAAAACCTGAAAAGATAGACAGCTATTTTATATGGATTGATTTTGTATTTGTCTGTGGCATGCTAAAGCACAGGTCGTGTTGTTGGTTGTTAGGTGAAAATCAGAGACAGATAGTCTGAAATAATGCATCACAGGTGAATATGTGGGCTTGATGACAATGCTGCATTGATGCCCCAGAGTCACTGCAATTTCTTATAGCGCTCTGAACTGTGCATTGCTAATGACAATACATTGACTAGATCATGTAGTGTCACTGACCATATTGTACATTATACTGTAATATCGGTAAGCCATTTATCATGCATGTGTTTCTGTGTTTCCAGACTTATAGTTACTCTGTAGAAGGACAACTGAAACAACACTAAACTTTTAATAGAAATATTCATGAAGCTTTATGTTAGGTCTCAAGAAAGTCAATTGGATATTTACAGTATGCAGAATATATGGCTTTATTCATCCATCCATCCAACTGTATTGAACACGTACAATATACCAAATACTGTAGTAGAATCTACAAATTTAGTGGAAAAGGAACACTGCCTTCCCTGAGCTTATATCCTGGCAGAGGGAAATGGATAATAAGTAAGCAAACAAAATACTTCTAAATGCTGATGAGGGCTCTGAATAAAATAAAACAATGTATGATAGGAGATGAGACAACTTTGGGTGGGATTAGGTAGCTGCCTCTGAAGCTTGCAGGAAGTTTATGTACAGAAGATCTGGTCGGGGCCTGGCTGGCCATTAGCTTGAAGTGAGTCTGGAACATGCTGTGACTATTCCAATATAAACTGCAAACTGGGTCAGATTAATGGAAGCAGAACATTGAGATAAGGGTAGTGACAATCCTACTCCCTCTGGAGCATTCATACCACTTCTGGACCAACTTTTATAGTTGCAAATGCTACTCATGGTGTCTAGCTAGAAACCACATCTTATGAGGACTGATTGAGAAAATTGGGAAAGTTTAGCTAGTAGAAGGAACCACTAGGCAGTCATCTTTGAAATATCCAGATTCAAGATGTTCAGAAGGGAATGAGTCCTGTTGGTGTGACTCCAAGAGTCTACCTTGAATTATTGAGAAGATAGCATGTATAGTTTAAAAGAGGGGAAACATATCTAAAAGAATTAGACCTATACAGAAATAGGACAGGCTTTTTGAAGAAGTGAGTACTCAACCCTCAGAAGTATTCCAGCAGAGGATGGGTAAACTCTGTTAAAGATGAGGAATCCCCATATTGGGCAAAAGATCCCTTTCTAGGACACAGCTTTGGGACTGGGGTACAGTTTTGTTTCTTTGAGTGGAAGATCTTTTCATCTTGGGACGCCAAATCAGCTTTAAAATATTTGAGCCTCAAGCAACAATCATGCCAAATCCTTTGTATCCTTCCTTTCTCTTAAGAGCGTTTGTTTCCTTGGAAGAGTGGTTTCTTGAAGATCAGAGGCACTGATCTATCTTTAGTCATGGGTGTCTCTTGCCGCTGGGACAGAATGATGTCCTAGACCTGAGTCTGCTGGAAGATGTGGACTCCTGGCCTTCCCTGTCCTCAGCAACAGTGAGGTGATGGGGATGGGATGCTCTAATGGCCTGCCTACTGATGGAAGTAACCTGCACTCGCCAGTACTTCAGAAACCCAAGCCCTGGGGACCAGGAATTATGTCAAGACTCCCAATAGCAGAGTTTACTAGAAACGACTGTATAATCCTTCTGCTCAAATCTCCTCTTTGTATGTGTGTGTTTGCATGTCAGTGCAAGGAAAGCTCTCTGAACTTGTCAACTTCCAGTATGAAGTGGCTGTACCTTGAGGCTCAGGTCAAAGGCTCAGTTCTGTGTAGAGCACTGTAGAGTTCCTTTTCTCAGAAAGCCTCTCCCTCTCTCTGGAATGTGGATTGATCATTGTCAGACAGGTGCTCCACTTTCTGTTTGAAATGCTCTTATACTGTGTCTTCACAGAAAGGTTTGATTGAACTCTAAACTCCATATAGCTGATTTAATTGCTCAGCATAATCATTTTATGATTACAAATTGATAGCATATCAATTCTGTCTCTACTCATATTTGGTCTGCTGGAAGAGAAATTAAATCAAAACCCCATTAAGATTAATACCTCAGGCAGAGATTAACTTGAATCTTAGACTAATATATTTTTTGTCTATTTACCTTCTGAGTAAAACATGTGTTTTTGAAGGACAGAGGAAGACCTGGGATATAAGGGCAGTGAAGAACCCATACCTGAGCCACAGACAACAAAAACAAACAGTGCCAACAGCCATGGTCCCACAGGATATTTCTCTTCTTGTGGCCTCTAAAAGAGAAGGGGAGAAAGTAAGATTAGGTTCATTAATTCGGGAAACATTTGTTGACTGCTACTAGTCACTGTGCTAGGAGCTGGGGCTACCACTGTGAATAAGACAGACTCAGTCTCAATGACCAGTGGGCAGATACAGATGAATACAGTCAATTGTAAAGGATCAAGATATATTTAAAAACATTCATCAATAACCTTGCTTACATCCCTGTAACTCAATGAACTTGGTGGTCTTAAATATTCTGGGGACAAGGTATAAATGCATAAAACTAATACAGTGATTTGGGAGCCAAAGATGATATTACTAATAACTGCTTCCATTTGTTGAAAGCACTCTCTATGACAGAAACCTACTATATCCACTATTTCCAGCACTCACAACCCCATACAACTCCATTCTGTAGTTGAGGATGGAAGCTCAAATTTGTGAACTTGGGCAAGAGCTGGAATTCAAATTTAGGTCTGCCTCATTACAGAGCCTGGGTGTTTTCCACTGATAGCTTCGTTTTTAACTCCCACATCTGTGAATTCTAAGTAGGGTCACAAAGCACAGCCATGTCCTCAAAACCTTCCATATGCCAAAAAGTTTGGGAAGGCAGTGCAGTGGAAACCTTTGGAATCCCAGAAGCACCACAACAACTGTGAATGGATGTGAGGGAAGCAGCGTTTTGTAATAAAGTTCCTAAATCTTTGTGAAGCTTACACTTTGGAAATTTCTGCATCCTCTGGGAAGCAGAGGGGGACTCTTGTACCCACACCAATCTAGCCCTCTGTACCTCCTGCTCTTCTCAAACCAAAAGCACAGACAGAACAAGAATGTCCCTCTGCAGCCCCTCTAGGTCTATTGGCAGGTAGGGTTTGGTCCGTACAAATAAAATAAAATATTCTAAGAGGCATCTGAAACACTGGTGAATTTCTCAAATAAAAAGGTAGAAGGTCGAATGAAAAAAGTAGTGTCTTTGGTTCCCAGCTCACCTGCTCACATTCTTAGAGAGCCTTCTCTTTTCTATCTCAATTGGGTTCACTTGTCATGTACACAGCCACATTCTTTTGCTTGGCAGTTACCACAGTTTGTATCTCTGTTTATTCTTGTGATAATGTATTTAATGTCTGGCTCTTCACTAGGCCCCACAAAGGCAGGCACTTTCTCTTTCATATATCAATGCATAGCAGTGCATAATACAGAACTTAAACATAGATGTTCAATAAATGTTAATTGAAGAATGAATAAGCACCCAAGCTTCATTAAACATGATTTCTTAGGTCAGATAGGATAAAGATAGGGCTTAGGAAGGATGTTGTCTTTTTATTATACTTCCTAATTGGCCTGAGGGTTATCCCTGCATTTCTCTTACTAGAAGAGTATGGATTAAAGTGTCAGTGGCAGGTAGATTCTGAAGGACTGAAACCATTCACTTCTCTGTCATTGACAAGCTTGCATCTTTCTATCCACTGAGCCAAACCAGCTAGGGCGCATCTACCACTCTTGTGTGAGGGCAAATCACATGGCAAGGAAAGAAGTGGTTGCCCTTGACTAGACAAGGACAAAGCCAGTCTTAAACAATTGCGTAAGATAACTTTAACCAGCATTTTTATCAGGTCATTCTTTGGCACTTAAGACCAGGTCAAGGTCAGATCAAGAAAATAGAGATATTAAATAAAGTTACCCGAACAGAGTGTGGCTTTACCCCTCCCCACCCTCTTTTACCAACTTCCTAACAATTTGTCATAGTTGCCCAGAAACCAATTCTGTTGCTATCATCCTACTAATGTTATATAAAAATTCGTTTGGCTCCATCTCCAGCAAAGCCAACAAGTGAATTCAGAAGCCTGTAAATGAATTATTGGTCGAGTCAGATACCAAATGAAGTCCTTTATTTTTCCTTTGCTGAAAAACATAAATTATTAACATGCAGAGCTTGGAGCAAAACCGTTTTGATGATATTTGCCACTGAATCAATATTACTTGGGGACTTTCAGAGCTCAGGAATACCTGGGTGATCATAATACCGATATATTCTTTTTGAGAGCTTCAAGTTACTTTTTTTTTGTGTGTGGAAGTGGTGCCCAGCACTATCCCACTGGGAAAATTTACCTAACCCTGAATCCACTGCTGGGAAAAGCAAGAAAATCAGTGGAATCCTGCAAATGACATGGTTCATTTCAAACAGAAGTTTGCCACTTCCCAAGGCTCCAAAACGTCAGTGGATGGCTTTCCCTGTGATAAGATAACAGCAGGGTAACTCAGAACTCTGGAATTTAAATTCTCTCTTCATTCTGAAGAAGTTACTACTGTATAATCATGAAATGATTATCTCATTTCTCTGTTTCTTGGCTTTATCTGCTATCTGGGAGAATAATTTTGATTCACTCCATAGCTATTAACTAATAACTAAATACTGCGGCATCTGCATATAATCAAAGGGCTTTATTTCTGAGTGATTAGTCGGAATTTTCAGTTAGAAGCTATTAATCTGTCCCCATTTATTGAATTTCATCTGAACAAGTTCTCCTTTGCAAGTTAATCTTTCAAAGTATAATGTTTGGCCTGTAATTAGGAAAATGAAATTTAGGATTCAAGGTATTGCTTTTTGTTGTTAATCCTCACCTGAGGATATTTTTCAATTGATTTTTTTAGAGAGAGTGGAAGGGAGGGGGAAAGACAGAGAGAGAAGCATCGATCCGTCCCCTCCCACATGCACCCTGACCAGGGATCGAGCCTGCAACTGAGGTACATGCCCTTGACCTGGGACCCTTCAGTCTGCAGATCTACACTCTATATGCTGAGCCAAACCAGCTAGGGCTAAAGTGTTGCTTTTTAAAAGAGAATTTCATTTTTCTTTTTGGATGCTGATCCATTTATAATAAATTTAACCAAAAGCCATTCCAACCAAAGGAAAATAAACATACATTGTGGCTTGGTTTGGAAACCTTTCATTACAAATTTAGTGGGGCCATTTAAACACCCTCAGAAGTACCCGGCGCTTTTGAAGGGCCTACTCCAAGGTATATGTGAACTATTAAACTGCACTC